TCCTTCCATCCATCCATCCATCCATCCATCCATCCACTTAATCCAATAACGTTGCTCAGGTATTTAAATGTTAACCAACCTAAATGTTCACCAAACAGTTTGTTTAGGTTTTGAATGTTACACTGATTCTGGATGGTTAGACTACATTAGTCGCCAGTCTATCGCAGGGCTACACTTAGAGACAGACAACCAAGCACACTCACATTCACATCTACGGACAATTTAGAATCAACAGTTAACCTCAATATGTTTTTGGACTGTGTGAGAGGAAGCCGGAGAACCCGGAGAGAACCTACGCTGCACGGGGAGAACATGCAAACTCCACGCAGAAACATCCTGAGTGTCCTCACCGGGATGGGAACCGGTGACCTTCTTGCTGAGAGGCAATGGTGTGAACCACCGATCCACCTTGCAGCCCAATATTAACATTATTTTAATATTTTGGTTGCTGTTTGGAGCTTAAAGAAATTGTTTAAGGAATGAGGGAGGTTTACTAAATGCTATTTATGTGGAGAAATGTAAAAAAAAAAAAGAAAAAAGAAAAAAAAGAGATGTAACTTATAAATTCTGCCAGTTACTACTCTACCACAAAAATGCCATGTGCCATCTTGTAACAGTTAAATATATTGGTAAAAGCTTCCCCCTGAGAAACCACTGTGGCTGTGTAGATGTGAGGGTTATGGTATATGTTTTGTGTCTTGTGGATTTTTCTCTGTCTCCGGTGTTTGTGTCTTGGTGGGCGTGTGTTTTCTTGGCAGGCTGGGCGGAGCTGAAGGGGAGAGGACTTTCTCGTGCTGGCAGGTGCCACTCATCAACTCATCAGCGGGGCACCTGAAAGAGAAGCTTCTCACAGATCTCCAGCGCCAGATTATTGTGAATCAACCTCGTGCGTTCCCTCTTCGACTCCAGCCTCCAGCGTTTCACGAGCCACACCAGCCGTAACCCTCTCAAGCTTCAACACAGAGCCCACCGCAACGAGCACCCTCACGAGAAGTTCTCCTTCCACGAGCACCTGCACTGGGAAAACCTCCACCAGGAAGAAGCACCTCGAGCACCGTCCCCAGAGCACCGTCCTCGGATTCCTCCACGCCTCCCTCTCCAGCACTACCTTGGCGGCACTTCCCCCTCCTCGGATCTCAGCACGGACAAACCTCCACCTGCACCTCCCTCGACTGACACTCCTGCATCTGGTTCCTGCTCCTGGTTCCTGCTCCTGGTGACCTCCACTCCCTCACCCTTATTAAGACTACCTTTTCTTTATAACCTGTTTCTCCTGCCTCCCCTTTTCGTTCAGGTCTGCCCGTACAGCCACCGTACACGGGCCGTCACAGTAGAGGTGTGTATATCTCTGTTTATCTGTGCTAAATCTCCTCCTAAGAAGTGTTAGAGTGCAACAGTCGGACATGTAACTCAAGAAAAGATTGCCTGCAGCATGCCAGACAGTCCCTTTGGCCACAGGCTAGAGGTCGCACAGGTGTCCCTGTGGTCACTTCTGTTTCTGGTCCTCAGGCGCAGACATTCAGCCAGTCAGTCACCAACAGTACTACACTCCCACTCTTTGCTAAATCATGACTGTCTGGCATGGGCATGGACACCCTATTTATGGTGCCACTACACGTGTCTCCCTCTTTGAGCAGATGCCTGGGCTTCAGGAATGCTGAGCAAGGTTATAACATGACGCTAAAAGTAGGACTCAATAGGGTCAAAAATATGGAATTAATGAAAAATTATTACCTGACAATTACGGAGGTGGATCACATTGAAGAAGATCAGTAACACAGTATCTTTGTTAAATAGAGTACGTGTGTAAATCCTCTTGATGAAAAAGAGGCACACATTTGCAGTATTATTACAGCAATACAATGACCTGATGAACTGTCCCTCTCTTCTGTTTTCTCAGTGAAAAGCCCAGTTTGTATAGAAATGTCATAAAATACAATCCATTAATTGAAATATGGAACAAACACAGCCTGTTTAACTTCTAAGTCTATGGAGGTGTGGGCATCTTTGCAAATTCAACTCAGAAGTTTCCAGATCTATTAACTATATCAAACTGAATGTGTATATATGTACATTTGTGCAAAATTATGGAGTCTTGGGTTGATTATTCCACATAATGTAAATGTAAGGAAACTTAAAAATGAAAAGAGATGAATGAAAATTCAACATACCATTGAAATTCGTAAATAAAATCTTGACCAATTTCCAAAAAAGGCTTTGATTGTGTTGAGACCATTTAGAGAATGTCCTTTTTACATGTCTGCATGGGTTAATGAACTTATTCATTGGGGATACAAAATGGCATAAATGGCAAACCCGTCATAAAAATGCTGCACGCTCTTCTGAATGACCTCTAAATCGAAAACTGTCACCACTTGGTCTTCCATGTGTCAGTCTGTAAAAAACAGAATGAGGCAACTCAAAGAAACGGAAACTGACTTCACTCTACAGTTGACCATTTATTATGACCTGGAGGCTGTCTGTCTACCCTTTGCTCCTTCTGAAACTCTAGTCAGTGTTAATCAGCCTGCAGGTATCCACACTCAGCACGACCTGTGAGTCAGACTCTCAATCCTCTGACTGATTGTTTTCGATGAGTGAGACTTCAGCGGCAGCTGGCTGCAGCTACAGACGCTTGATTTGTACCTGATTTCATGGTCCAGGAGCGACCCACTCCTCTTTCTGCAAGGCGGATTACACAGCGGGACAAATGGCATTGCATATGCATCTGGGAACAGCTGTGGCTGCTGCCCACTCCTCACCACAACATGCACCCAACAGACCCCAACGCTTCAGTTCAAACACTAGCTTACTGAGCATTCAAGAGCACAACTGCAAGCTATCAGGTGACACTTCTGAAAGTCTTTCAACTGAATAAAATGATTATTTGTTTATTTGAACTTCAGACAACTTTCTTTTGGTTTTCCCTATGAAGCATGTTTTAAACTGAATCAATGTCCAGAATGATTGTGTATTGGTTCAACATGCACCTGCAACCTTTGGGAATAACTGTAAAAAAAAAATAAAAAAATGTGTGCAGTTATATATTCATAGTATGATATATATGGTTTATTTGCAGAAACATGGCAGCAATTGATTTCTCATTTGTGTGAACTGATAGCAACTGTTGCTTAGCACTTGACAATTTGTCCTCTTCAAACATGGAGGAACAATAGAGACTCAAGGCCCTGTTAAAGTCCACTATGAATGATGTAGATTCAGTCCAACAAAAATCTATCACACACTTAGCACCTTAAAGACTCAAGGATTGTCCTAAAAACAAAACAGCTTGCTCCTTCCTGGAGAACAGCAGTTAAAATCAGCCTTGATTCGCATTTAAACAATTAAAGCCGTCTTGCACTATGTTCCAGACATTCATAGTTTGTCCTCAAGATAAACAAATGCACACTGCAGATCTCCAACAAGCTGATTGATACACTGGAAATGCATTTGCGGTTTATTAGTAAAGAGATGGGTGTTTGAGAAATGTTAAGAAGAGGTTTGAGAATTTTCAGTGGAAGCTTTAATGCTTGTTTACTTCCCTGAATTGTCATTGTATCTTGCAACTGTTGTGAATCCAGACTTTAGCTGCCCCTGTGTGAGCCTTTCACAGCCTTCTAGCTGACAGGGGGTGATTATTTTTTGTAGAGCATTTCTCTAAAGCAGATTCTTTCCATTTAGCCAAACTAACTACACTGTAAACAAACTAAAAGAGGCACTTTTTTGTTATCTGCTTATCACCCCTCTGGGACTTGTAACACCTCTGGCATTTGAAGGAGCAATGTAACCCCCATCAGCCTCACTACACACAGCTTAAACAGTTGCCGGATATCTGCATCAGACCTGAGAACAGGGGATCCTGCACCTTAAAGGTCATGCTTAAGGGTTCACTGGCCTTTCAAATCATTCAAAGGTTTATTTATTTATGCCTATATGGAAGGTCATAAATAGACTTATTTCTGAGGTCCTGAGGATTTGACCAAAATATTACACAGCTGAGGCCTCACCATGACAAACCAGTTTTCCCCCTGGCTGTGTCGGTGATCTATCACTGTCATGTTCAAAAGAGACAACATATATTTTTTGTGACTTTCTTCATTATCAATTGGCTATAGAATATGAAAAAAAGGCACAACAGCAACATAAATTCACCATAAAGACATTCAAGTATGCAGACACTGAAAAGTTGCAGTAACATTGAATAATAATTAGCAGGTCAGAAAACTTTTGAGAAGATCTGATTTATTTATATCCACAGCTTCTCCGTCTGTGACATTTACACCAACTTCTAAAACACATTATCGTGAGTTCCCCACAAGAATCACTACAGGCCAATTCTGTCATTTACCCAACCTGGGCTGCATTACTACTTCAAACAGACAGAGAGAGACTGATGGTGGTTAGAAGTGCTGTTGGTAATAAGTCAGTTTACATTGCCAACCATTTTAGAATTCATGATGGCGTCTGCTGACAGGGGGCTGCTAATGATGCCCCGAGCTCTCGGCATACATCCTCCTCAACACGTTCCATCATCTCCCTCCAACCAGGAAGGAAATGTTTATATCAGCCACAACCTCTGATTGCAGAGTCAGTGTAGCGCCTCTATCAATGAAATTTAGTTGTTTGGTTGAAGACATCACTCAGGTAAAAACATAAACTGTATATTTAAAGAGCAGCACAGCAAAAGGGCTAAATGGGATCACACTCTGAGGAGCAGGAAGCAGAGAGTCTTTGGCTCAAATGTGGAGGTAGCCTGAGTGTAGATTCGTGCAGCGAGGGAAGCAGTATCAAGTGGCACAACCCAAGTGCAAGCGGAGTATCTTTACTAACCAGTTACTTGTTACTGGGAATTTTGTAGCAATCAAAAATAAGTGTAAATTCTCCATTAACTCAGACAGAAAGCACACACTGGCAACAACACACAAAAAAGTACCTCACAGCTCAAATAATTAAGTATATTTGACCAACAGCAGAGGATAAGAGACAAAGATTTCACTGACCTGACAAAGCAGAGTCCCTAGCACACACACCATCAACATCCGTCTCGCCATCCTCGCTCCCTGTTCTCAGAAACTTAGTATGAACAGATCTCTGACCGACCAAAGATCTGTAGATCTGTGCCAGGCTCCTGAGGGCTCCACTGGGTAAAACGGGGCCAAACTGTCCCGACTTTGAAACCTGTCCCGTTCTTTCTTTCCCTATCCTTCTGCTTCTGCAGTCTCTCTGTCTCTCTCCCTCCTTCCCTCTCCCAGCATCTGTCTCTCACAGCTCCACCCTGTCCATAGCTGGGGTATGTCTCACAGTGGTGGGGTAAGGGGTTTGAATTTCAGCAGCGGGCCTCCCATGTACCCCAGCACATGTGCTGTCACTCACAAGGCCAATGGGAAAGAGAAAGAGGGAGAGAGAGAGAGATGAAGAGAGAAGCACGGAAGTTGTTGGCGGTGTGGACAGAATCACTGTCTTCACCACTAAGTGAGTATATAAACTTTTGTTTTACAGAGTAGCACAAAGGAAATGGAGAAAAAGGATAGAAAGCCAAGGCAAGATGTGAAACAACATGAAAAACAAATGTCTTTTTACCCCCTTCTATCTTCTTGCAAATTTACGAATGCATCAAAAGTTGAAATGAGGAAACAGATATCCTGTCTCTGTCCACAGGGCAAAGCATTCATCAGTTTTAGATGTCGTGATGCTGCTTGTGGCACAGCAGCTGAATGCCAGTGTTTTTCAGGAGGGTATTTTGTCAGATCTTGTGACTTCCAAAGTAGAAAATTTAGCAAAAATACTGATCTGCACTAAACTCGTAACCCATCATATTACTGTGACAAAAAGCTAATACAACCATGACTAAAAACAGCCAAAGGAAATGAACCATCATGTTCACCAAACTTAACAGCAACATTTTTGACATCTGCAGTCACTGATGTAACAATATTTTAACATTCTACAGGCTCCACTGGCAGCACTAAATCCCTCTTTAAAGCTGAAAAAGTTCATCACTTTCTTTCTTCTTTAAACCTCTTCTTCTTGTCCTTCAGGTTGCGTGGCTGCATTGCATAATCTCCCCGTCTAGCGTGGTGCCTGTCGTGCCCTCTCACATTCAGAACATTCAGCCAGAACCCTTTGATCTTCTGCTATTTTGAACACTCTGTCAAAGCAGAAGATGAAGATCCATGGCGCTCTATGGGTGATGTCAAAGCAGAGATCGCCATTTCTGTGGTGCTTAAAATTTGACTGAGAGGGCTGCCATGATCGATTTAGTCCAAAGGTGTCGGACAAGTTATGTTGAGAAGGGCTTGTTGTTGTCCAAGTTATAGAGGAGTGAGTGAAAAACAGAGTGAGAAAGTTAGCTCACTTTGTCGCTCAAACTTTCTCACGGGAGATGCAAACAGCAGGGAAGATGTGTTACGGGATAGCTACATGTGGAGAATGGAGTCCATACCTTTTCCACACTAGTTTCAACACTCATCAACACCCTCTCAGCAAGTCTGCCTACGGGTCAAAGGTTGATACGGATCTTTAGAAAGTAGACAACTTCAGACTGCTCGGACTTCTCTATACAAAAACTTTTTTTCACTTGCAGATCAGACATGTACTTGCGAAAACCCAAAGACAAAGACTAACTTGGGCAATAAACAAGTTCTGAGAGTAGAACTGCAATTGAGACGCTATTGATAGTACAGTCATGAAACTCTCATGACTGCCAGAAAGTAGAGCGGTGAAATAATTGGGTGTGTTGGCAGAGTGACCATGTGTGCCAAGTGTGCATCCGCATGCTTTCATTTGTCAGTGTTTTTGTCAGCGTGTGTGTGAGAGAGAGTTCTGGTGTAAAGGGGTGATTTTACAGCACCTGTCTCTGTCATTTCAGGCAGAAGCAGTTGGCAGGAGCCACCCTGATGTTTTACTTCCTTCAACCCCCACACATACTGTCACAACAGCCTCTCTTGAGCGCATGCAGACTTTTCATGTAAGAAAGAAGACTGCTGGTCCATCATGTAGTCGGAATCAATGTTTTGTGTGAAAGGGCTTCATGTGTGTTTCTTATAAATAGGACTGGGTCCAAAAATTATGCTAAAGTTTTAAAGAACCAATTAAAATCTTGCTGAAAACATTCTCAGATTCACGGTCAGCCCTCTGCTGCCCACTGTTGGCAGAAACAGCTGCTCACATGCATCGCCTGCATGCTGCATGAAAATAATGAGGAGATGTGTGTACAGGTTAAAGCATGCAATTTTTGTTAGGTAGAATTTTTGCACCGCCTCATCCACACGAATAAGAATGAGAGTGTATCCATAGGGAAAGAATTTTCAGAGATACTGAGTTGGGGATTTAATTGATTATATTTACATATTTACATTTATAACATAATGTAGACATTTCAGTCTGCTTTCCCTCTGCAATAAAAAAATAGTTGTACTTATTTTTATGAGGTAATAATACATCCCTTTATAACATGTTGTACAGTTTACCAATAAAATAATAGATACTAAAATTTGGAGAGGTATAGAAAGAACTGTTTCTGAGATATAGTTCTTTTAACACGTACCTCCAAAGTGTAGGCATTTAAAAGGAGTTTGTAATGATACACATTGAATCAAACTAAAACATTATATTTAATATTTGGCAGAAAATCCTTGCGGTCTTTCACTCACAGACATGACGCTTTCTCAGACTTTCTCACTGCCGCCACCCTCAGCTTTTCTTTCTTGAGGAGTCTTTATGCTTTCAGTGTGGTCTTAAGCAAATAGAATCTGCCTCAGTCAGAGTGAGATCAGGACGCTTGGCCAGTCAAAGATATTCGACCTCTTCACCCAGAAAATCTTTTGTTGCTCTTGTAACCCCCGGTTACTAGAGCCCTGCAAAATATTAAGACTAATATAAGAAACAGTATTTTAAACAGTGATGCTGGAAAAAAATCAGTGGTGATTCTGATTGGACGACCTGACCCTTCAGTCAAAATTTCAGTAACCTATTGACATCGCCCATGTCTGTCAAGGGTATACCCACCCGTTATGTAGCTGAAAGCGCGCTACGACACGTTCTTTTGCGATCTGACCAGCAATCAGAGCGGACAAGTGTTGGAGCAGAGAGTGTAGCTGACGTGAGTGAGTAAAAAAAAAAAAAAAAGTGAGTAAATAAGATTCACCATATCTAAAAGTCAGTTGCATGAATGTTGACAAAACATTTTCCCCCAACCAGATTGATGAACCCCTAAAAAGACCTGTAGTAGTTACCATCCTGCTGCTAACTGCCGAAGGGAAAGTCTCTGTGAGTTGACTGAGATGCTAATACGCCACTTGTAGCGTGCTGTAGAAAGAATAACGGGAACCATTAAAAATAATGTGAAAATGTGTTTTGAAGTTGGCGGTGACACATGTTATTAATGTCCACTGTGCTAGCGTTACTAGTTAAGTCGCGCTAACAATGGCGCGTTAGCAATCGCGCGCTGACCACGCAGTGTTAGCTGTGCTGTGTTAGCCGCGCCGGTTAGCTGCATTGGCCCTCTAATTGTTAATGGTGGTTGTCACTCATCAATTTTAGGCTGCTAACAGCTGTAAATGAGTTTTAAAGGTGTGTTTATGACGTTATGTGAGCTAATGTTAATGTTGAGATGTTAAACATGATTTATTAGCTGTTCTATGACCAAAAAGGCCCATTATTAGCTCAAGTTTAAGTGAGTTGAAGCTGGGATAATTGTCATAAAAAATGTAGTAATTGCAATGCATTGAAATATGACATTACAAACCATTGAGATGAGAGTTAAAGTTTTATTTTACTGAAGTGACAGAATACAGTGACTGTTATGTGTATGTAGCAGGGAACAGAGTGAAGCTGTCCTCCACTACACATTTAATTTTTAAAGTCTTTATTGAGTTCTGCAAAGAGCACAAAAAGTGTCTTTTAACCTCACAGTTCGCCACACACATACGTCAACTTTCTACTACGTGTGTGTTCTCATTCTCTGGATATATTTCTACACTTTAACACAAAAAATATGAACGTCTGCACCAACATATAGTAGTAAATCATGTCTTGCATCAGTACTCCAAATCAGTTTAGTTTACATTCATGAATTACTCCCGAGCGGTGCGGGCTCATCGTTTACTTCCTAGCCCCGCGCTCGCGGTAGGTAGCCACCAGTGCTAACCAGTAGTTAGCCATTTTCGTTACATTACGTTGGCTGACTCCCATAAACAATACCGCCAAAACTCCAACCGGGTTAATAAACTAACAGATACAACAACAATTACACAGTTTAAACTCTTCCTGCTTACCTGCAAACAGCACAAAAAGTGTCTTTTAACCTCACAGTTCGCCACACACATACATCAACTTTCTACTACGTGTGTGTTCTCATTCTCTGGATATATTTCTAGGAGACTTCCCTTTGACCCTGAACACACAGTGTAGCGAACGCGCCCTCTGCTGGTCGGACTTAGTAACTGCATACTGTTAAATGACAACATTTTTCCAACAATAAACCACATTGAATATAAACCGTATTAAATGCAAACAATGTTAAACAAACAAAAATAATAATGTAGGTATTTATCAACCCACTGATGGCTCTGTATGCCACATGTATGTATATATAAAAAAAACAAATTGAGCTGTGCAGTCACAGTTCTCCTGGTTTTGTGGGTCAAGGCCAGGTCTTTTTCCCCCTCTTTCTTCTCTCTTCTCTTCTTCCTTGTGTTGACTAGCTAGCCTAGGTGGCTTCTGATGAACAGAGGTGCAGTTGGTCCTGGAGTGGTGAGCCAATCCGTGAGATGAATCTGGAGATGCTTGATTCGTGAAGTTGATAAAGAGTGCTAGGAGAAGTGTTCAGTTGCTCCCCACAGTAGACTGCAAGGAAATTCATGGAATGAGAAGAAAACCCGAGAGGCCCCCAATTCATGAAAGAATATAGTGACGTTATACATCAAATTAAACAGCAGAACCTGGGCTACAAGCATATATCAGCCATTTCTACATGCCTCAAACACAACTCAAACACCAACTAAATGAATTATCAAATATGGACATCGATATAGCGCCACCACGTCAATCCACTCGTCACATTTCTGGCTCTGTCGCTACTGTACCTTATGAAAGACGCACAACCTACCTCTCAAAATGAAGCAGAGAGTCCCCAGATTCTAAACATATCCATCAAAGCTTTCTAAAACCAAAGCATCAGCGAGAAACAACCCAAAGAACAGCAAAAACCGAAACCGCTTCGTCAAACTGTAGCTGTAAAAT